TCCTGTCTGTGCTCCTGTACTCTGAAGATGCCGGTCACAGGTGCTGGCGTGCTGGCGAAACGTTAGGAAACAAAACTTCCAGAACACGGCCACACAGCCCGGAAGACCCCCACCAGCCATCGTATGCCGGCCGTGAAAGCCTTCGACAATACATTGTGGTAGGTTTATTGATTATATGTTTATAATTAAGCATAGAACAGTCATAGACTGATATTCAGATGCCGTGATGTGTCTGTCCCTACCAAGATCAGAACGATGCAAGTAATGCCATTCCCTGTGACCCTCTGAGGAGACAAAAGCTGGACTTGAAGAAGCTGGATTGGAACAGTACTGACACTTTTAATGACACTCTTCTGGTGTGTGGTAGACCCTGGTGACCTTGGCCTGGTAATTGGATCACGCACTATCAGGAGATCTTACAAATAATCGGGCGTGCACATATGCAGGACACAATGTGTTCACATCAGAAATTTGTGCTTGTATTTATTAACATTCCCATTCAAAATCAGAATTGGCAATAAAAAGAGGTGGGGGTAAAAGGAAGGTCCAGAATAGTACAAAGGAGAGCATTTTAGACATGAGTCAGTACAGTGAGGTTTTGCGTAACCTGGCCGACAATCCCAGTGTGCCATAACTAGGACAGGAACGAAGAAACTGGGCCATCTTGGTAGTAAGGAACTGAGGATTCTGCAAACATCCATTAAACGGAAATAGCAAATTTTAACTGTTTCTTCAGTGAAGTGCTTTAAAGACAGTCTATCGCTGATTTGGTCTTTGGACAAAACCACAAAGATAACCTTGGAGAAGGAATGAGACAATTAGCAAAACATGAATTAAGCCCTGGAAAGGAAGAAGGTGTTAGACTTAAAGTGACTTAAAGTGACTCTGCCTTGATGTCCTTTGGTTTAAGAGGAGGGGAAGGGAAAATGTTGCTGGGCTTTCAAGATTCTGTTACTATAGCCTGTCTCAGTAAAGTAGAGTTCTAGTATTTATTAGGACAAGTTTCTCAATCTTGGCAACTTTAAGATGCGTGGACTTCAACTCCCAGGATCCAGTGACGTTGGTGGAGAGCCTGCTAAATGGCTGTATTTCTAGGAAAATGAATGGTGTTCTCCTGCAGATTGTGCTTTTTATGGTTTTAATAGTTTTATTGTTTTTAATGTTTTAATGATTTTTGTGCTTAATCTGGGTTGGTTTTTGTATTTTGGGAGGGGGGGATTTTTTAACTCTGTAAGCCGCCTAGAGTCGCAGTAGTGAGATGGCTGGCTATATAAATTTAAATAAATAAATAAACAAATAAATAAATGTTTAATAGTAATATTTGCCTAATGGTGGTTTAATAAGCCCCAGATGGCTGGCTTTGCATAGCGAGGAAATGTGCGGAAAATGTGCAGGGGATTAAAAGGCCATTTTCTAATTTTTCTTGGTGGCTAATATCAAATACTCAAGGCTGGTTTTGAGTTATCTTGAAAAAACTAGGCAGAGCGAGAAAGTGCTGGAACCTTTTACGCGGAGTTGCATCATTCAGGAATCTAGGCCTGTTTCTAGGTGGCAGAGGGAGGGATTTTGCATCAATTTTCCTCAACCTCCACCAGGTGGCAAAGTTGCTAAAAAAATGTAAATCATTTAAAATCCCTCCAGGTTACAGAACTGAACACAATTATGGACTGCTTGTGGGTGGGCATAGACCAGTGTTGTCCAAACCTGGCCACTTTAAGATGAGTGGACTTCATCCATGAGCTGGCTGGGGAATTCTGGGAGTTGAGGTCCACTCATCTTAAAGTGGCCAAGTTTGGACAACACTGGCATAGACGGTCCGGTTACAGTGTAAATAACACTGTGATTATTTACCACTAGCGAGACAACCTATTACATGTTGATTAAAATCCTAGGCTTCTATAACGGAGACATGCTGGCTTCTCCAAGCCCAAAAGTCCTGAGCGAGGAGTAAGCAGGGCAGTTGTGTTCCTCCAGATATTTTGAGATTCCCTTCATCCCTCACCTGGATGGCCAGTGGTCAAAGACTATGGAATGGTATTAATTGAATTAATTAATTACTGGTATTTTTATATTGTTCTTCAAAACAGCTCCAAGTGGCGTGCAACAGGAATAGTTAAAAACATCAAAGCTGTGACATTTAAAATATATTCCCATAAAACTAATCAGCAGAAGTAGATCATGAAAGAAAAACTAACATTCCCCAAATGTTCCTTTCCAGGTTTTCACAGCAGGAAGGAGGTGCCACCACTGAGATGGTCCTGTTTGCCTAATTGTTCTGAATGTACAAAACCCTTAAATTTTCAGCAGCTAAGTTTGTGAGTTACTGGTCAGTATGAAACTTATATTGGTCATTTAAGGTGGACAAATTTTATGCTTGCTGAAGCTGTAGAATATTTCACGGGAATTTTAAGATTCATGTACATATATAATGGAAGCTCAGAGAAGGAGGTAGTGGGCTATGTAAGAAAAATGTTACATATGCTGAGAAACGCTGTGTCTCAGTTGTGCTGAATAATTTTGGTTCCTATTAGTTACTGTACTTGGAAAAGGACTGCAGAGTTTGAGATGGCCAAATTATCTTTTCTTGTGCTGGTTAGCTATTGTATAAAGGAGTGAGTCAGCCGCATTATTAATCTTACAGTTTTAAGAGATGCTCAGCACTTGCGTTTCTACAGAGCAAAAATTCGAACTCATTTTTAAAACTGACCAGCAGACCTGTAGAAAGACCTAGTTAAATGCCTTAAATTGATATTCCCATTTTACAGATGAGGAGCACTGAGGCTGAGAAATAATTAGAACAAAGAAGAGAAATGCATATATCTATTTACTTGCTTTTTCAGGAAATGGATAGCCCTTGGTGAAGTACAACTCCTGGTTAATCATACAGAGATTTCCCAGTTTACATTCAGACAATCTCCAATATTCATCTTAGACCTAGGATCCAAACTTGTGGTATAAATCTACTTCTTAATTTACCCTTCAAGGAAATGTCATCCATGGATAACTGCTCCAGTACTGTATAGTCTATGTTGCCAAAGGAAATATGTTGGGCCGAATAAATAAGACAATTCTGGTTTTTCTCATTAACTAAACAAAACCCCTTTTCAACTTCTTTCCATCCTATTTATAAAAGACTTTCTTATCAAGTTCTTATCTCAAAAACAAATTAAATCGAACTCAAATTAAATCAGACTCAGCCATTGGGACTGGCCGATTCAGTAAGTAAAGCTGTTCACAAAGCTGATAAAGAACTTTAAAAAGAAGAAAAAACAAAAGTTGGCAACCCTTAATTGAGCAGCAAAAATATAAATACTGGACTGAGAACTCATCTTTCCAAACCCTTTTACCAGGACTGACCAACTTGTCCACATCACTTTATCCCACCTTTAATTATTCTACATCCCAAATTCTTTCCATAAGAATTCTGATAAATGAATAAAATTCTCTACTAGCCCTGCTACACTCCCCCCTCCCCAAGTTCATCTGAGAATTGATTGTCCACCAGGGCGTATAATTCCATATTTAAAATATTTATTAGCAATGCACATTTCTCCATGGTTTCCAGCAAATCTTTAAAAAAGTCTCTTCCATCCAGCCGCCTCCTTCATCCTTGAGCCCGACTGTTATCTGTGGGTATGGGTTCTTCAGCTGCTGGCTGAGCTTCGTTTCTCACTCTGTTGACCGCAATGGGCACCGTCCTCATGGCTGATTCCGCCACAGGAGCTTCAATGCGGAGCTGTCCGTCGCTGGAGATGGAGCAGCTGAGACGGTCTCGGTCCACGCTCTCTGGCACGTCCCACTCCCTCCGGAAGAGCTCATAGCGGAAAGGACCGTGGGGCATCTCTGTGGCCTTCCTGCCCGTCAGGACCACCTTCTCCCCAACCAGCTTCACCACCAGTTCCTGGGGGTCAAATCCAGCCATGTCTTGAGTCACTGCAAATGTGTCGTTGGTGTTTGCTGCCTCCAAGCTCTGGTCGGTCTCTTGGGGGGCTGTGCTACTGGCTGTGGGCCGCCAGTTGCTGGTAAGGAGCTCCCACATAGAATCCATTTCCCGCTCCAGCTCCTCGAAGAGCGAACTGGTCCTGGGCCATAAGCCTCGGCTTCGCAGGGGGCTCTGAGGTGCTGCAAGGTGAAGTCGGCACAGCATCGTGGTCTCGGTGTGCTCCTCTTCTCAATAAGCTGAGCCTGGTGTCTCTCTGTATGCTGAGAGCTGCTGTATGCTCTGCCTCTAGGACTCTGCTTCCTTTTATTCAAGTCCCCACCTCGCTGCAATATTTTTGCCCCGATGCTTCCTGTGGTAAAGAATTTAACTCAGCACTTAGGCACTTCATTACAATGACTCAGCCCCCCAAACCGGGACCGTGAGACAACCCCCCACAATTTCAGTTCTGGCCTCATTTCTTTGGCCTGTGCTTGGCTTATAATTAGGAGGGGCTTTCACTCTCACTCTTTCCAAAATAGAAGCTGAACTCATTCAAGCCAGACGGGGAACAGCTGCTGCCGGTAAACCACCAGGCAATGTTGCTGAAGGCCTTTCAAGACTAATCTGGCTTTTCCCACACTTAATAATTTTCCTTAGGTATAAAGTGGATTGGTGTTTCAGTCTTACAACCCAAAAGATTGGCTTTAGAGAGTAACCCTTCCCCAAATCCAGGGCTTTCCAGATGCACTGTAATTGGAAACCCTAGGACAGTGTTTCTCAACCTTGGCAGCTTGAAGATGTAAGGACTGTAACAACCACTATGTAGGACAGACAGGCAGAAGGCTAGCAGAGCGCATCC